CTGGTTTACCTTATTCAAGAGATTAGTAAGTTGGGAGAGGAATCGCCATGGCGAGTGGGAGTTCTGGGCAGGGATGGATTACCTTACGAGCTCCACGACAATTGGCGATTTCACTAACGAAAGAGAACTGCATGTTTTCTGCTTTGCGACAGCGATTCGCAAATTACATACTATGACGTGTCGTACTGTACTGGTGAAGCAGGGGTACGCGCCATGGTGGCGCTGGAGGAGAATGACGTCCAGGCAATCGTCCCTTGACTTCGTCATTCATTCGTGATTCGTCAATTGTTTAGGCGGGCTGAGCTCGCGAGGCTGTGTACGGTTTCGATTCGCAGAAAACAATTCACCGATCGCCAGATGACGAGGAGTTGACCTCATACTCACAGGATAACAACCAATCAAAATCGAGGGGGGCTTTTGCCCGGTAATTCCATTGAAACTTCTCCGTTTTCACACAGTTCAAAAGCAAGACACAGTTGCAAGTACGGATAAAGTTGAAGAGAGACGTAACATGTAGGCTACATAGGAATAATAATATATACATATTAGGCATACTGACTAGAATTACAATGACTGAACTAGGTCAAGGATATTCTAATTAGTGCTACTCCCTCAGCCCCCACCTCCATTCTACAAAAGGTTCACATCACACACCCTTCATTGGGCTTTTAGCCCTTGCTTTCTCACCGTCTTCAACACCCGCCTTTCCCTTGCCCTTCACTTTCTCCTTTTTCTTCTTCTCCTCCTTTTTCTCTCTGGCCTGATCATCCTTGTCCCGACTAACCTTTGCAGATTTGCTCTTGCCCAACTTACCAGCCTTACCAGACTCCATGAAGGGAATTTTCATCCTAGGTGACTTCAACGTGGGTGACTTCAATGTGGGTGACTTGGCACGGGTGGGGGAACCCAGAGGAGGTGTGGCAGACGGTGACATCAGCGGTGACGTGGCACTTGACATGGCATGCGATGAGCTGGCGTGCGGCGACGTGGCAAAAGACGAAATCGCCTTCCAGATGCCACCCGAAACCGGAGAAACGGGCGGTTTCTGAGGCGTCGGCGGGGCCTCAAAAGGCGACAGCTGCTCCTGCAGACCCATCGTTACCACTCCGTGCTTTGGCAAACCCAGCTGCACCCATCCCCCACCCACTCCGCCACTATCAGCTGTTCTTGGCCTCGAAAGCCTCCCCTCTTGATCCTCTTCTCCAATTCCACCGCCGTACTTCCCGTTCCCTGCGTCACCCCTCTCTGCCCCATCATCCCTATGTCTGCTCACCGTGCGAGCAGCCTTTCTCCCATCCACCGCCCCTCTCTCACTCTCCTTGCCCCCCTTGCTGCCAGAGCTCATCGAACTCTCATGGCTGTGAAAGCTCTCCCGCCCCGTGATGCTCCCATGCGAGGTGGCTCGCCTGTGAGAGGACTCGTGCCCGTGGCTGCTGCTGCGAGTGGCTCTGTGCGCGCTGCTGTCTGCACTATCACCACCTCCAGCTTCGTTTCCTTCTCTCTTCACCCTGCTTAGGGTTCGACTGGCCTTCTTCTCTCCCCCACCCCCATCCCCGTGCCCACCTTCCCTCTTCACTTTGCTTAACGTCCTGCTTGCCTTTTGCTCCTCAACCTCCTCGCTCTCCTTCTCTCCTCTCTTCACCTTGCTTAGCGTCCTGCTTGCTTTCCTCTCCCCAACCTCCTCAGCCTCCTTCTCCTCTCGCTTCACTCTACTTAACGTTCTACCCGCCCTCTTCTCCTCAACCCCTTCACTTTCCTGCTCCCCTCTCTTCACTTTACTCAACGTCCTGCTTGCTTTCCTCTCGCCATAATCCTCCCCCCCTTTCTCCTCTCGCTTGACTCTACTGAGCGTCCTGGTCGCTTTCTTCTCATCATCTCCGTTCCCTTCTCCTCCTCCTCTCTCCTGCGCATCTTTCCCCTCCCTCTGCTTCCTACTCAGCGTCCTATTCATCATCTTCTCTTCCTTAGCCCCATGCCCTCTTGCTTCCCCCTCTGCCCCTGAATCCCCTCCCTTCTCCAGTTTCTCCCTCCTTGACTTGCTTGAAGGCCTTTTCAGCTTGCTCTCTCCCCTGTCCTCCTCCCTTTTCTCCATCTTCTCCCCCTCGTCCCGTCTCTTTTTCTTACTCATTGTCCTGCTCATTCTTCTCTCCGAATCCTCTTCTTCCCCTTTCTCCATCTTCTCCCCCTCTTCCCCTTTCTTCTTCTTACTCATCGTCCTCCTCATCTTCCTATCCCCATCGTCCTCTGATTCCATCCCCTCTCCTTTCACTATCCTCGCCTTCCCCTCGTCATCCTCCTCTACCCCCTTTCCTTCTCTCTTCTTCCTGCTCAGTGTTCTGCTCGCCTTCCTCTCATAATCCCCTCCCTCGGATTCTCCCCCATCCTTTCCTTCTTTCCCCTTTCTCTCCACTTTACTGAGCGTCCTTCCTGCCTTCCTTTCTTTTTCTTCCCCTTTCCCTGCCACTACACCTAAATTTACATCTCGACTCTTCTCCCCGCAATCTTCCTTCCCTCCTCTCTTCACCTTACTCATCGTCCTTCCCATCCTCGTCTCCTCTCGCTGCTCCTGGCCCACACTGCCACTCTTCACCAGCACATCACTTCTAGCCTCCATCCCTCCCCCCTTCCCCTTGCCCACCTCTTTCCCCTTCTTGCTCATTGTTCGCTTAGCCTTTCCTGCTGCTTCTCCGGCAGACTCAGCAGAAACAGCACCAACAGCAGAAGCAGCAGCAGGGGCAGCAGCAGGAGCAGGAGAGGTGGAACCATGGTCTTTACCCTTCTTCCCTCCAGCTGCCTTGATCAATTTCCCCATTGATGAATCAAGCCCCTTCAGAATCTTGCCAAACCCACCCTTCTTCGACTCACCACCCTTGTTCGACTCACCACCCTTCTTCGACTCACCACCCTTCTTCGACGCACCACCCGTCTTCTTGCCAGATGCAGCACCCCCCTCCTCCAATTCCTCCTCCTCCACCTCCTCCTCCTCCCTCCATTCCCCACCTTCCCCTCCACCCGCACGCCTTCCCTCCTCCTCCTCCTCCTCCTCCTCCTCCTCCTCCTCCTCCTCCTCCTCCTCCTCCTCCTCCTCCTCCTCCTCCTCCTCCTCCTCCTCCTCCTCCTCCTCCTCCTCCTCCTCCTCCTCCTCCTCCTCCTCCTTCCCTGCACTCCTCCCAATCCCTTTCCACCGCAGCCGCTTGAAGTAAACAGGAGACACACTCCTGGTTCTACTACCACTGCTCTTAACCGGCGATACCCCTCTGCTGCTGCCCCTGCCATCGCTCCCCTCAACCGCACCAACCGCACCAACAGCACCAACCGCACCAACAGCACCAACCGCACCAACAGCACCAACAGCAGCAGCAGCAGCAGCGGCAGCAGCGGCAGCAGCAGCAGCAGCAGAGGCATGTGAAGCACTCATGCTCTGAGGAATCATTCTTCGTCCAGACCCACTCACACCACTCAGAGTGCCACTAGAATCATCCACAGAAACCCGTCTGTGTGGCGACACAGCCCCCCTCCTGCCACTGGGATCATCCATAGAAACCCGCCTAGACGTGTTGGGGGAGCTGGTGGGAGAAGGAGCCATAGGGGGGAGCCAGGACACGGCGTGTGATGCGCTCATGCTCTGGGGGATCATTCTGCGTACAGGCGGACTTTGGGTTGGGCTAGAATGAGCCATATTCGGGGACCGGGGGGGCACCCGAGAAGGGCTACAATGGGCGGTAGGCGGGGATCGGGGCGGGTCAGAAAGGACCTCCCTTGGCAGATAGAAGTCATGTGAAGCGCTCATGCTCTGGGGGATCATTCTGCGCGCAGGCGGGCTGGGAGCTCTGCTACTGCTAGAATGGGCTGTAGGCGGGGATCGGGGCGGCTCAGAAAGCACCTCCCCTGGCAGTAGAAACCTGACCACCGGACCTGAGTGGGATGCACTCATGCTCTGGGGAATCATTCTGCGCACGGGTGGGCTGTGAGTGCCACTGCTGCTAAAATCGGCCACTGATTGCCGCCTGCTGCTGCTGCTGCTGCTGCTGCTGCGCTCAACAGCAGCAACAGCGGCGGCGGCAGCAGCAGTCGAGTGCGATGCACTCATGCTCTGAGGAATCATTCTCCGCACACTCGGGCTGGTAGTGCCGCTGCGGCTAAACTCGTCCACTGACTGCCGCCTGCTGCTGCTGCTGCTGCGCTCAACAGCAGCAACAGCCGCGGCGGCAGAAGGAGAAGCAGTCAAATGCGAAGCACTCATGCTTTGAGGAATCATTCTGCGCACAGGAGGGCTTGTAGTGCGGCTAGAATCGTCCACTGACTGCCGCCTGCTGCTGCTGCTGCGCTCAACAGCAGCAACGGCAGCTACAGCGGCAGCGGCAGCAGCAGCAGAAGTGGCATGTGAAGCGCTCATGCTCTGGGGAATCATTCTCCGCACAGGCGGGCTGTGGGTGCCACTAGAATCATCCACAGACCACCGCCTGCTGGGTGAGACTTGTAGCTCATGAGTAGATGGGGTGACTGGGGTGACTGGGGTGCATGGGGTGCATGGGCTGTGTGGGATGGATGGTTTGACTGGTGACTTGCTACCGGGTGACTTTCGGGGTTTACCTGACGATGTGCTTGACACACTCGAAACAACCGACTCCGCTGAAACCACTGATGCTGCTGCTGATGCCACCGAAGCTACAGAACCTACAGATGCTGCAACTGATGCTACCGATGCTTTAGATGCTCGAGAATCTGCAGAGGCTGCTGATGCTGCTGATGCTGCTGATGCTACTGATGCTGCTGATGCAACCGATGCTCCCCTATGCAGGTGCTTCTTGGTAGTTTTCTTCTTCTCGCCACTCCCCTCCTTCATCTCGCTCTCACTGCCCTCCGTCTCACCGATCGCAGGCAGACGAGCTGCTTTCTTCTTCCCCTTCCTCACCTTCTTCCCACCAACGTCACCGCCAGCAGCAGCAGAAGCAGCACCAGCACTTGCAGCAGCGCCTGAAGCAGCAGCAGTGCTCCGTTTAGAAGGTTGCTGCTTTGGAGTGGCAGGGGAGAGCAGGGCGAAGCTGAAGGAACCGGCAGGGGAGGCGGGAGAGGAGGCGTTGCTGTGGGGTGTGCTGGTGCCGCTGGTGGGGCTGGTGAGAGTGGTGGGGGAGAGGGGTGCAGCAGGGATGGAGAGGCGCTGAGGCGTGGTTGCGAGCTCCCCTGTGGGCAGCATATGACGGATTGTCACGTTTGCTAGCAGCTCCTGCGGCGGCTGCTCCTGCTGCTCCTGCTCCTTCTTTTTCTCCTTCTCTTCCTCTTGCTTCCCCCCTTGCTGCTGCTGCCCCTTGTGATCCTCTTTGCTGCGAATCTTATTCCCCTTTTTCAAACTCTGTCTGACCCTACTTCCCCCCTCACTGTCTCCCCCTGCGTCCTGCCGCTCCTCACCCGCTTCCCCTTCTCCCTTCTTCAATCTACTCTTGCTTCGCCTCACCCGGCCGCTCTTCACCACATCATCCCCACTCGTCTCCCCATCCCGGGACTCCCGCCGATGAATCTTCCTGGAAGGTGACTTGAGCAACGCCTTCTTCTCGCCTCCTTTTGCCTTGACCTTACCCTTCTTCCCTTCACCAATCCGCTTGTCCTCCACACTCCCATGCCCCGCACTCCCTTCTTCCTCTGTAGTTGTTGTTGCTGTAGCTGTTGCTGCTGCTGCAGCAGCAGCTGCTTCTGCTTCTGCTTCCACTTCTGCTGCTCCATCTGCTGCTCCTCGCCTCCCTGACAGCTCCTCAGTCCGCTCAAAGAGAGGTTGGGCTGCTTGAAGCAGCACAGCAGCACCGGCCGCACTCTTGCTTATCACCACGTCTCCTGCTGCCACCGCTGCCGCCGCTGCCGACCCGATTCGGCGGATGGACGGGGTATCTGTTCCTGTGGAGCTTGAGGAAGGTACATCTGAGGAAGGTACATCTGAGGCAGGTACATCTGAGGCAGGTACATCTGAGGCAGGTACATCTGAGGCAGGTACGACTGAGGCAGGTACGTCTGAGGTAGGTACATCTGAGGCAGGTACATCTGAGGCAGGTACATCTGAGGCAGGTACATCTGAGGTAGGTACATCTGAGGCAGGTACGGCTGAGGCAGGTACGTCTGAGGTAGGTACGTCTGAGGCAGCAACAGCAGTGGCCACTACAGCTGGCAGCGATGGCTCAGCAGATACAACTGTTTCAGCCACTGACTCCCTTCCTCCGCCAACCAACTCTGCTGCTTCGCCTGCCTCTGCCACTACTGCTGCTTCACCTGTCTCTGCCACTAATGCTCCTTCTTCTGCAACTACTGCTGTTTCTGCAACTACTGCTCCTTCTGCCACTACTGCTCCTTCTGCCACTTCTGCCGCTACTGCCATTTCTAATCGTTCTGCAGCGCCTATTAATTCCGCTGTGGCCTCTGCCCTCCCATCTACCCCCTCCTTCACCATTGCACCCATCTCCACCACTCCTTCTATCCTCTCTTCTTTTTTTCCCTCCTTCGCCTCTACGCCCTCCTTCCTCTCCCTTCCCTCCTCCCCCTCCCTCTCGTCCTCGCCTCTACTCTCCCCATCTTCCTCCAAATCTTGCTCGTCCCTGTGACTTCCCTCCTCACTCTTCTCACTCTCTTCGATCTCTTCTCCATTTTCCAATCCTTGCCTCTTCCCCACCTCACTCTCCTCCTCCTCCCCCTCCTCTCGACCCCCCTCCATCTGTGTACCCTCCAGACTCTCTCCTCCTTCCTCCTCCAATTCCACTTCCCTGACGCGATTACTGTTCTCCTCTTTCTCCTCTTTTTCCTTGTCTTCCTCCTCTTCCTCCTCTTTCTCCTCCTCTCTCTCCTCCTCCACTCTTTCACGCTCAACTTCTTCTTCACCCTTTCCTCCCTCCATCCCTGTTCGCTCCATAGCCTCTCCTTGTTCCTCCACCTCCCTTTCCCCTTCCATCTCTCGTTCCTCCACCTCTCTTCCCCCTTCCACCTCTCTTTCCCCTTCCACCTCTCTTTCCCCTTCCACCTCTCTTTCCCCTTCCACCTCTCTTTCCCCTTCCACCTCTCTTTCCCCTTCCACCTCGCTTTCCCCTTCCACCTCTCTTTCCCCTTCCACCTCTCTTTCCACTTCCAACTCTCGTTCCTCCACCTCCCTTTCTCCTTCCACCTCTCTTTTCTCATCCACCTTTGCACCCTCCACTACCTCTCTGGCTTCCGGAACAATCTCCACCTCCCCAAAGCAGCTTCCCTCCCCCGCCTCACTTCTAGTCTCCTCCTCCTCCGCTTCACTCCCCATCTCCTCCTCCTCTCCTTCCTTCATTCCTGTTTTCGCCTCAGCCTCTCCTCCTCCCTCCTCGCTTTCCCCTTCCACCGCTCTCTCCTCATCCACCTTTGTACCCTCCTCTGCCTCTCTCGCAACCTGCCCCATTCCTGCATCCCCAAAGCAGCTTCCCTCCCCCGCCTCACTCTGCTGCTCCTCCCCTTCACTCCTAACCTCCTCCTCCTCCCCTTCACTCCTAACCTCCTCCTCCTCCCCTTCACTCCTAACCTCCTCCTCCTCCCTTTCACTCCTAACCTCCTCCTCCTCCCCTTCACTCTCCATCTCCTCCAGAAATCCTTCCTTCATCCCTGTTTTCTCCTCCGCCTCTCTTTCTTCCTCGGCCTCGCTCCCCTCTTCTCCATCTATCCCCCAATCCACCACTCTCCTCTCCTCCCCTTCACTCTCCTCCCCTTCACTCTCCTCCCCCTCGTCTCTCCCCTCCTCCTCCTCTCTCCCCTCCCCCCCTCTCCCCTCCTCTCTTTCCTCCCTCCCTCTCCCCTCCTCTCTCTCTTTCCCCTCCTCACTCAAACCCCCTTCCACATCCATCTCCTCTTCATCCACTGACGGAAGATCAGAACCAAACGATGATCTCGACCGTCGATCGCGCCGCCTACTATCAAGCTTCTTCAGAGCACCCCATCCAGCAACTACCCTTCCCTGTCCTCCTCCCCCTTCCAGCCCCTTCCCTAACCCCTCTCCCTCATCCGATTCTCCTCCCTCTCCTAATCCTCCTCCCTCTCCCAATCCTCCTCCCTCATCCCACCCGTTTCCCAGTTCTAATGCCCCTCCTTTTACCACACGTCCACCAATAACCTCGCCTTCCTCCAAACCACCAAGCACAACTGGGTTCCGTGAACATTCACCTGAAGTGTCACCTGAATCTTCATCTGAATCATCACGCATCAGCTGCTCCTCTTCCTCGTAATCCCCCCACCAGAAGGCCTCGTTATTGCCATCCTCGTTATTGCCATCCTTGTTATTGTCATCCTCGTTAGTGACACTCTGACTCTCATCCTCCTCCTCATCATCATCGCCGTATCTCCGTACCACCTTTGCAAACCCAACAGCACCAATCTCCACCTCCCCCAGATAGGACCTCCCCAGGCTTTGAAGCGCCCCAGGCCCAGGGTCAGCTCCCACCTCCCCTAAATAAGACCTCCCCAGGTCACCAGAACGAGATCCCCCAGCCTCCCTTGACCCCACCCCTGGAGCCAATCCAACCTCCCTCACTCCGTTGTGCTCCTCACTCTTGCTTCTCACCACTCTCCCCTCCTCACTGCCCATGGGAACAAGCACTGTCTCTTCGGCAGGCGCTGACTTCCAATGGAAAATACTGGGCGGATTGTGAAAGAACCCGGAAGAAATAGGGCTAGTTGCCCCAAAGGTCTCCCTTCGCTGAAGGCCCTTGCTGCTCAGACCCAGAACAGTTCCTCTCACCTTACCCAGTGTTTGCATAAACCTGTTCCCTCCCTTTCCACCTCCTCCCCCTCCTCCTCCCGCCTCTACTACTACCTCTCCTCTCCCTCCTCCCTCAACGTCCCACCCCCAGTTAGAATCATCACCACTCTTCGTCACACGTCGGGGTAGTTGGCCCATGCTGTGGGTCCGCCTAGACTCACCAGAGGCTATCCCCGATGCTGCTGCTGCTGCTGCCCCTGCCACAGATGCAACACTCCTCGCCCCTCCCCTGATCCCCTCCTTCACATTCAACGCCCCTTCCTTAATCCCCTCCTTCACATTGATCGCCTTTTCCTTAATCCCCTCTCTGACATTTGACGCGCCTCCCTTAATCCCTTCTTTTACGCTGAACGCCCCTTCCTTAATCCCCTCCCTAACACTCTGCGCCCCTTCTTTAATACCTTCCTTAACATTCATCGCCTTTTCTTTAATCCCCTCTTTAACATTCATCGCCCCTCCCTTAATCCCCTCCTTTACATTCAACGCCCCTTCTTTGATTCCCTCCCTGACATTCATCGCCCCACCCTTGATCCCCCCTGCCACAGTTAAAGCCCCACTGGCGATCCCGCCTGCTGCCGCTGCCAGGGCTTGCCGTATTCTCACCTTCTTCCTCTCCTCCTCCTCCTCGCCCCCTAATCCGGGAATCACCCACAGCAGCATCATGGCCTCTTCCCTTGGTGATAGAACCTCACCCTCCTTCTTCCCTTCTTCCTCCCCTTCCTCCTCCTCCTCCTCCTCCTCCTCCTCCTCCTCCTCCTCCTCCTCCTCCTCCTCCTCCTCCTCCTCCTCCTCCTCCTCCTCCTCTCCTCCTTTACTTCCCACACTCTTGCTGTCGAAGCTGTTGTCTTCAGACGGGCGGCGTCGGGTGGCATTTAGCCGGGAGAGCATGCGCGGCGGTTTGGCCGGCATCAGCACCGGATTCAACCCCACAGCACCACGCCCATCCACCTCATCACCCTGGTCTGCTCTGCCCCCAACCACCTCCACGCCGCCAGCAGCAGCACCGTTCTGCTCCCTGCTCTCTGCTCGCTCCTCTCTGCTTCCTGACTGCTCATTGCTGCCCTCTGCACGCTGCTGCTCTAATAACCCCTCTCGCCTCTCCTCCTCCTCCCTCTGCACCTCCAGCTGCTGCTCTAGCTTCTCCCACACCAGGTTACTCCTCTCCATCTCCCCACCACCGCCCTCTCCCGCTCCCAACCCCTCTGCACCGCATTCATTCACCTCCGCCATCCTCCCCTCCTCAACCCCCTTCTCCCCCTCTTCATCCCCGTCCCGCTCTCTCTCTTCCACACCCACCTTCCTCTCCTCCTTTCTCACACTCACCCTTCCCTCCGGCCTCAGAATGAGCCCTCTGATTGACAGCTCTCTGCGCTCAAACCTTGACAGCTCAGCGCATTTTGTAAGAAGCAGGTTCGCACGAGCAGGCAGCGAGGGTTCCGGTGATAAGTGTGGCTCAAAGAGAAACTGGAACACCTGGGGAAGCACCTGCGGACGCACCTGAGAAAAAGCACCTGGCGAATCACCTGGAGAAGCACCTGGAAACTCACCTGAGGCATCTGAGGGGGTCCCAGGCAAGGGGAAGTGAGGAGGGAAATCTGGGTGGCTCCTGTTGAGAGTGGATTGCGCACTCACACTGCTCCTGAGGGACCTCGAACCGAGACGAGACTTACCAGGCGCTTCAAAGGGCACCTTTGGATGAAGCCTGTTGAGAGACTGTGCACTCGTGGTGCGGTGAAGCCCCGGTCTCGGTGGCTTGCCTTGTAAGTGCCGCACCTGCTGCTGCACCTGCTGCTGCACCTGCTGCTGCACCTGCTGCCGCACCTGCTGCTGCACCTGCTGCTGCACCTGCTGCTGCACCTGCTGCTGCACCTGCTGCTGCACCTGCTGCTGCACCTGCTGCTGCACCTGCTGCTGCACCTGCTGCTGCACCGGTTGCTGATCCTGCTCCCGATCCTTCTGCTGATCTGACTGCTGATCCGTTAGATTTTCATCACAACTCCGCGGCTTCTCCTGCTGCTGCTCGTTCAGCTGTCGTGACAGGAGCTTCTTTCCCGTCACTTGCTCGGCCCACTCCTGCGACCGCTCCTTGTGGTGCTTCTTACCACTCAGAGACACAGACGCAGCAGAAGCAGAAGAAGCAGAAGCAGCAGACGCAGCAGACACAGCAGCGGATTTGAGGGATGACAAGCAGCGGATGCGGGCAATCTCTCGCTTGAACTGAGGGAAGGAGGTGGTGAGATCAACTGCATGTCGCTGCGAGGACGAGAGAGAGGAGAGGAGAGAGGAGGGGAGAGAGGAGGACGAAGAGGAGAGGGAGGATGTGGAGGGTTCGGCAGGGAGGGAAGAGGAGCGAGGGGAGCAGTGAGGCACGAGAGTTGAGTCACGGTTGGAGCGCGAGCTGAGCTTCTGCAGTGTCGGCTTCATCGGCTGTAACTGCTGCACGTGCTGCAACTGCTCCTCCTGTGCCTGCTGCTCCTGTGCCTCCTGCTGCTCCTGCTCCTTCTGCAAAACAATTGAGTCACGGTTGGAGCGGGAGCTCAGCTTTTGCAGTTTCGGCTTCACTGGCTGCACCTGCTGCACCTGCTGCTCCTGCGCCTCCTGCTGCTCCTGCGCCTTCTGCTCCTTGTGCTGGGTCTGCTGCTGAAACACGGAATCCCCGCTACCTGTGGGGTGTTTTTGAGAATTCTCAAAAACACCCTGCTGAAACACGGAATCCCTGCTACCTGTGGCCCTGTCCAGTGACGCCCCAGAGGACTTGGAGCGATGGAGAGGAGGAGCATCATCCTTTGTCGTGCTGATATCGTGCGCGCTAACATCACTCCTCCAGTCACTGCTGCTGCTGCTGCTCTTGCTCTTGCGGAGGAGCTGGGAAGGCTTGCTCTCGCGGAACCGACTTGAGTTGCTTCTGCTAGAGAATCCGCTACGCGTGGCGCTGCCAATCCGCTTCAAGTAGTTGGGGTTATTCGGGTTACTAGGGTTACTGAAGTTACTGAGGTAATTAGTGTTACTAAAGTTACTTAGGTTACTAGGGTTACAAGGATAACGGGTGTTGCTGCTGCTGGCAGTGGTGGCAGCAGGGCGAATGCTACTGGCTGGGGGATCTACAAAGACGAAACGGTGCACCATTGAGAGGCTGCCACGTGGAAGATAGGCTGCTGGAGAGCTGCCACGTGGCTGTGCAGTGAATGAGGAGCGCAGGGGAGAGGAGGTTGCTGACGCAGCACCTGAGACGGCTCCTAAGGCCGCGACTGAATAGTCACCTGAAGAGGCACCTGAGCGGGCACCTGAGGCAGCAGCTAGGGCAGCATCTGCAGCAGCGTCCAAGGGAGAGGGGCATCCCGCTGAGGCCCATTGCCTCAAGTACTGCCCTCTCCTGCCCAACCCACGACTCGACAGCCACCTTTGCTTTTGCTGCTGCTGCTGCTGCTCTTGCTCCTGCTGTTGCTGCTGCTGCTGCTGCTGCTGCTGCTCCTGAAACATTTCATGCAGTCGCTTCCGTGAACTAGAGCGATCGCTTGAACTGTATCCACTGCGACCGGTTTGGGATGCAAAACGCAACTGTGAAGCATGCAGTAAGGAGTACGAAGCCGAACCAGCAGCAGAGTTCCTACCCTCGGACTTAGCCCTTTGCAGCATCCGCGGACTCTTCTGCTGCGGGGAGAGGGAATCCGGAACACTATCCAGCGACGCTGACGTGGCACTGCCAGCTGGACTCTCCGACCATGCTGCTCCCCCTGTAAAGGAGGCTGACCTGGCAACAAGCCTAGATTCGCCACCCACAGATGTAGACACATGCAATGCCGCTGCCAGCACTCCCTCACCCCCGCCCTCTAGAGTGCGTTGCTCCAAGGCTGCTCGGATGCGGAGGGACAAGGGCACCTGGTAGGCCGGCAAAGCCCGCCGGCTGTGCTGCCCCTCCGCTGCTTTGCTGGTAAAAGCAGCAGCGCTGGTAGCTGCAGCACTATCAGTTATCGCGTTCTCGCTGGTTACGACAACAAGGCTGGTTACCGCGTTACCGCTGCTGCTGCTCACTGAGCGTCGCATGGCTGCACTTCCGGGAGCACTAACCTCTTCCTCCTCCTCACCCATACTGCTGCCGGGAACGGCAAGCACCGAAACAGCATTGCTGGAAAATGCTCGTGAGATTCGTCCCCTGTGCTGCCTCTGGTGCTGCGTCTGGTGCTGCCCCTCGTGCTGCCCCTCGTGCGGCCCCTCGTGTTTCTGAGAGATCTTAAACACACCCTCCCCCTCCAACCCCTCCGACCGTCCTCCTTCCTCCTCCAACCCCTCACCCTCCCTCTTCCCTTCTTCACCCTCCTCCGCCAACTCCCACTCCTCATCCTCCTCTCCAAATCCCTCCTCCATTCCTCCCCATCCGTCATCACTGCTTCCAACCTCCCATTCCTCTCTGCCTAAATCCCGTCCGCTCTCTCCCTCCACACCCACCCCACTCTCGTCCAACCCAGCAACAAACCTGTCAACGAACGACGCGTTGTGCCCAAACGTCTCCGTCCTAGGAGCCTGCCTGCAGCATCTGCTGCCCACACTCGCACCCCGCAATGCACCACTCCCACCCACACTCTCTACTCTCGACCCTATTCCTGACGCAGCTGCTGCTGCTGCCGACGCCACGTTCCTTGCCCCTCCCTTAATCCCCTGCCTCACATTCATCGCTCCCGAAGCTACGTTCTTAGCTCCGGACCGGACCCCTGCCGCAGCTGCGGCAGCAGCCCCGGCAATGGCAAGGCCGGAGGCATGGAAACGGCGGGAGTGGGAGCTTCTTATCCCTCTCTTGCCCTCCCCCCCTTCCTCACACTCCCCCTCCTCCTCCCACAATGCCAACACGGCATCTTCAGGGGAAAGAGCGGCAAGGCTAGTCACCCTGAGGAACGGCATTTCCTCAGACAAATTTCTGGAATGTCCCTTGGGGCCATGCTGGAAGCTTGCACTGCCCTGGTGATTCAAACTCCCTCTTCCCCCGGCATCGCTGCTGCTGCTCACTCCGCCAGTGGTTCGGCTGCTGGGCAGCACCCTAACTGCTGCTGCGGTGCAGTCCTCTTGAGCGACTGAACAAGCGGTTGAGTGCGGTTGAGAAGCAAGAATGGAACCAGAATGAGGCTCACCAGAGGTTGTGGCTACTGCAGTGGCACTTGGAGCGAGTGTGTTTGGCTTCACAGTCGAGGGGGCTAACTGACCTGGTGCAGTTAGGGCAGCTGTCGCAGTTTCGCTTCTAGCCATCTTAGCACCGATCCCTCTCAGCAGGCTGGTTCGAGGCTCCTTACGTTGGAGTGCATCTCCTCTGCTGGTATCCCCTCTAGGGAGTGATTTGGTACTGGTACTTCTAGCACCGAGTTCGCCTGAGTAATCTACAGCAAAAAAGTCGGGATTGAAAGGGTCTGTATGGGCTGGGCTGGAGTGGAAGGAAGCTGCATCGAAGGACCACCTTGGCAGGGAGTCAGAATCAAAGGAATCTTCCAGGAAGAAGTCTGCATCCAAGGAACCTTCCGTGAAGGCGCCAGGAGCATCCCTCTCCTTCCCACTCCTGCTCCTCCTACCAAGGCTGACAGGCACGACAGGGCTGGAGCTGCTGTTGCTGATAATTCGGCTGTCGTGGGTCTTACTCCTTGTAACGGATCTGCCTGTAAAGGAACCAGGGCTGGTTCGAACGGCGCTCGTGGCCCCATCTCTGCTCCTGCTCTTACCCAAGCCGTTACTCTGTAACCCTCTCTCCTCGCAGTCCTCACCCTCTTCCCCCTCTCTGTCCGCAACATTATGCACCCGTTGCATCCGGCCAGAGCCTGACCCACCCTGCCCAGCTGCCACCTCTTCTGCCAAATGCTTGATCTCAGATGCCACCTCTTTGATCCCCCCTGCTGCCACCGCTGCTGCTGCTGCTGCAGTGCCTGCCACGCTCCTTGCACCCTCCTTGATTCCTCCCGCTGCTGCAAATGCTACGCTCTGTGCCCCTCCTGCTACTGTCAGCGCACCCCCGCTCACACCCCCTGCCACTGTCAAAGCACCCTCTTTCACACCCCCTGCCACTGTTAAAGCACCCTCTTTCACACCCCCTGCCACTGTTAAAGCACCCTCTTTCACACCACCTGCCACTGTTAAAGCCCCCCCTTTCACTCCCCCTGCCACTGTTAGAGCTCCCTCTTTTACACCTCCTGCCACTGTCAAGGCTCCCTCTTTCACCCCTCCAGCAACAGTCATAGCCCCTCCTTTCACCCCTCCTGCAACAGTCATAGCCCCTCCTTTCACCCCTCCAGCAACAGTCATAGCCCCTCCTTTCACCCCTCCAGCAACAGTCATAGCCCCTCCTTTCACCCCTCCTGCAACCGTCAACGCCCCATCTCTCACCCCCCCTGCCACTGTCCTCACTCCGCCCTTAATCCCCCCTGCAACGTTCCTAGCCCCTCCCTTGATCCCCCCAGCAACAGCCACCGCACCAGTAGCCACACCCCCTGCTGCCACCGCAGCAAGGCTCCTCGCCCCCTGCCCCACCTCCCCTGCTGCAGCAGCCACGTTCCTAGCAGCAGCGCCGGGGAGGCTGGTAACCGCAGAGACGTTACGCGCTCCTGAGCTGATCCCAGTCGCTGCTTTTATCGCTGCTTTGGTGGCTGCAGAGGAGATACCGCTTCTGACGTTCCCCACTGCAGCAAAAGAGCGGGCTCGCAGCCCTGCCATACCGCCGCTGCTACTGCTACTGATAGTGCTGCTGCTGCTGCTACTGATAGTGCTGCTGCTGCTGCTACTGATAGTGCTGCTGCTGCTGCTCATGGTGCCTCTACTGGCAGCAGTGTTGACAGAGAGCGTGGCTGGGAATGCGGGAGGAGCAGCCAAGGAAGAAGGGTCGCCCACAACACCATCAGGTGTACCTCTATCATCCTGCTGCTGTACCAACGTATCTGCCTCTGCTTCTGTGGACCCATATTGCTCCTGACCGCCCGTCGTCCCATGCCGAGCTCCTGCCTTGCTTCCTCCTAGTAACGACTTGCTTCTGCTCCTCAGCCCGCGAAACAGACTCCCACTGCTCTTACTCCTCATTCCACTGCCCTTGCTCTTGACTTCACTCCCCTTGCTAGTGCTCGGGTTCCCCCCCTTCTCCCCATACTCCAGGCTCGCTGCTTGGGGCTCCTCTATCATGTCCTCCTTCTCATCATCATCCTCATCATCACCATCAGACAAGTCAACGACCAGCTTGTTAGCTGTTACGGTAACCAGATCATCGACCGTTACGGTAACCGCCTCATCACCCGTTATGGTAACCGCCTCAACAGTTGTGATAGCAGCAGCCTCTTCATCTGTTACGGTGGCCCGGCTGAAGGCCTCCTCCTCTTCCTCTTCTTCCTCCTCCATCTCCACCACCTCATCCCAGTAATCTGTCCCCACTCTCTCCTCCTCCTCCTCCTCAAACTTGACCTGTTCGTCCAAACTATAACCCTTATCCTCCTCCTCTTCTTCTTCCACCCCCTCTTCCTCCTCTTCCTCCTCATCCTGCTTTTCCTCATCCTGCTTTTCCTCATCCTGCACTCCCTCCCCCAACCCCACATCCACTCCCCAGCCACCTTGCCGGACTGACTTCGCCTCCTCTTCCTCCTCCGCTCCCTCCCCCTCTTCCTCCTCCTCCTCCTCCTCCTCCTCCTCCTCCTCCTCCTCCTCCTCCTCCTCCTCCTCCTCCTCCTCCTCCTCCTCCTCCTCCTCCTCCTCCTCCTCCTCCTCCTCCTCCTCCTCCTCCTCCTCCTCCTCCTCCTCCTCCTCCTCCTCCTCCTCCTCCTCCTCCTCCTCCTCCTCCTCCTCCTCCTCCTCCTTCTCCTCCTCCTCCTTCTCCTCTGATTCCTCCTCTCCCCTTTCCCCCTCCTCCTCCTCCAACGCTTCCTCCTCCCATCCCTCTTCCCTCCCATCCTCCCTACCTGCAAACGCCAAACCTCCCACTTCACCACCCTCCAACTCCACAACATCCGCCACGACAACAGAGCCCTCGTCACTATCACTTCTCTCGCAGTCACCTCTGTTCCCCTCCCCCCATTGGTTGTTCTCCACGGATCCATACACAGGCGTGGCCATGGGAACAGCAGCATCATCAGGGGACAGTTGGTCCCATTCAATCCCTCCTGCTGCATCTGGTGCGTCTACTCTCAACTCTTTCTCTAAACCCCACCCACTCTCCATTTGAGCAGCCAATACACGCCCACCCTGTGCCCTCTGAGTCGACTCAAAAGCCACCGCTGCTTGCTCTCCTGCTGCCATTCCTGCTGCTTCTCCTGCTGTCTCTCCTGCTGGCTCTCTCAACTCTTCCTCCCACCCCTCTGGACCCTCAACAACCTGAGCAGCAGTGAATAAATGCCCACCCTGCGTCTCGTCCAGCTCACCATCTACCTCCATAGCCCCGCCATTCACCACCGTAGCCCTGCCGTGCGCTACTGACATAACCATGCCATCGCCATTCCTCTTCATGCCATCACCACTCCTCTCTCTGCCAACACCTACCAGCTCACCCCCATGCCACTCAGCTGCTACAGCTCCACCACCAGTCATCAGCCGGTCAGTGCCACCTAAGCCTCTGTCAGAATCCGTCAGGACGTTAGCAGAGTCAGTCAACAGTCTGTCAGTCAGCCGCCCAGCCCCTGAAACGAGCCCATTTCCTGGTTGAACCCCTGCTTGAGACAGAGGGATCAGAGGATGCTCAATGCTTGCTCTGGTTGACCTTGCCCGTTTAGCCTCAACCCCCTCTTCCCATTGCTGCTTCGCCAGTTCATGCCCACTTAACCTACTCGAATGACCGCTTCGAACCGCACTCACCCCCTCCGTTTTCCCATCGGGAGCTAATGCCGGTGCTTCAGGGAGCAGCATCAGCCACGGCTGCTGTTGAGGCGTCTCAGAATGAGCCAGTCCCGGCTGCCCTCCCGGCTGCCCTACCAGCACTGCCCGCTTCTTGCTTGCCTCTCTCCCCTGGCCCTCCCCGCTTGTTCCCTCCCACTGCGTAGACCTCTCCTTCCAACTCCCCCATTGCTGCTGATGCTGCTGATCATGATATAGCTGTTCAGGCGGATTCTCCTGCTGTTGCTTCTGTTGTTGCTGCTGCCCCACTGAGTGAATAGAGCTCCGACCACTGACGGCATGAGCACTGCTCTGACTGCGCCTGTGACCTGCACGCTGTATTGACTCACTGCTCTCGCTCTCTGTCCAGGTCCCACGTTGCTGCTCCACTTGCTGCTGCTGCTGCTGCTGCTGCCATTGCTCCAAATGCGGCTGCTGCTGGGGCTGAGGCCTAGGCGACTCATCCAAAGAACGCCGGACGGCATGAGCGCTGCTCTGACTGCGCCTGTGCCTTGCATTGTCTTCCCGCTGGCGGCTCTCGCTCGCACTCTCCCTCACAATACCATCCTGCTGCATTTTCTGCTGTCTCGAACACTGCTGCTGCTGCTGCTGCTGCTGCTGCTGCTGCTGCTGCTGCTGCTGCTGCTGCTGCTGCTGCTGCTGCTGCTGCTGCTGCTGCTGCTGCTGCTGCTGCTGCTGCTGCTGCTGCTGCTGCTGCTGCTTCTGTGGCTGAGGCCTAGGCGACTCATCCAAGCTGCGCCTGACAGCATGAGCACTGCTCTGACTGCGCCTGTGCCTTGCATTCTCTGCCGGTTGACTGCTCTCACTCACACCCTCCCTGTTAGTTCCATCCTGTTGCATTCTCTGTCGCCTCAAATCTTGCTGCTGCTGCTGCTGCTGCTGCCGACTTGGAGCGATATTCGAGGCCTGGCTTGTGGCATAGGCACTGCTCTGACTGCGCCTGTGACCTGCACCCTTCACTGACCGCTTGCTCTCACTCTCACTCCCATACTGACGGAAGCTATCCTCACGCCGCTGCTGCTCTGTAGATTGCTGTTGCTGTTGCTGCTGCTGTTGTTGCGTCTGTTGTGTCACGTATTTCGAGCCCTGGCTTGAGTCCTGCGCGCTGCTCTGACTGCGCCTGTGCACGGAGCTTCTACTACCAGGGAGACTGCTCCCGCTCGCGCTCGCAGATTCTCGAGGGCTGTACTGAAGCTGTTGCTGCTGCTTCGGTTGCTGCGGCGGCGGAAACTGCTGCTGGTGCAAGCTACCAGCACCAACGCCGGCACCAGCGCCATCACCAGCAGGAGTAGGAGCAGCAAGAGCAGCAGCGGTAGCCGCAGCAGCAGTAGGTGTCACAGACTGCGAGCGGCCAAACCTAGAAAACTGCGACAGGGACGAGCCTGTGGGCGTGTGGGAGGGGAGGGGGGGTCTGGGAGAAGGGAGAGAGGACCTTTCGTGCGTACCAGTGGTGCTGGAACGGGAAAAGAGAGACGCGGGAGGAGGATACGAGCCTGAGGGCGACTTTTGAATCGACTCAGAAGTCAGGAGCGGGGACCTTTCGTGCGTACCGGTGGTGCTGGCGCGGGAAAAGAGAGAGGCGGGAGGGGGATAAGAGCTTGAGGGCGACGACGAAGTTCCGGAATGATTGAACGAGTTTGCCCGCAGGTACATGTTAGGGTTAGGGCCAGGACGTGAGCCTGAACTAGCCTGTCTTGACACGGGATCGACCCTTATGTCATTTCCAGAAGGCGACAAAACCTCACTGGAATCATCCTCGTTGTAAGGAGACGTTTTGAATTCACCCTTCTTGAACTCCATCCACGCGTTAGGGTTTTTTCGCCAATGGTCCGCTTCGGGCCGCGACAAATTATGATCGTCCATCATGGCTGCCGCATCAACAGTCGTGAGAGCTCCATCTAATCCTGCTGCACCGGATGATACTCTATTCACTGAAGCTCCAACCCAGCGCTTCGCCGCTTCTGTCTCCGTTATAGGCCTGCACAAAACAACGCTTAGGTCGACGCTACGGGTCCGGCTGTGAGTCGTAGCAGAACCACTTACCTTTGCAGCGCTCCTTCCCATTTGACTACTCGAAATTTGAACATCATGGCCGGATTCCCTCCGCTCATCTGAAGCGCGCCCGTTGGGGGAATCAATATTAGCCGTTGATCTGTCAGCTGCCATGCCGTTTCGATGACCGCGACTAAGCATATCGTCGGCAGCAGTATATCTACCGCGAGGTCCCGTTGGTAGCGCTTCATTGGCTACGCTACTCCGGTCAGCAATGCTCGGACCAATCGCGCTATGATGTTTCGTGTTCGATCCGCCAGCTACCAGGAAAGAGCGGTTGGTACTGCTGCTGCTGGCGCTTCGTCTCAGTGACCGTCGCGCGATGTCGTTGTGACGAGGCGCCGACATTGTGCGGTTTTGGCGGGGCTTCGAGTTACTGACAGGGTCGGGCTGTGGGGGAGACATGCGCTCTGAGTAACTAATCTCGAAATTAGGCGAACGTGCATGAGCACACGCAGCAGCGCGATTGTCAGAAGCGATCGATGTTATATTTCCGCCTTTCACGTTTCATGATGCAAAAAACACAATTCCACTGCTAAGCTGGTCTACCTAAATAGAGCAAGTTACCGAAGGTGTTAGACCTAAGTCAGGCATACAAGCCTAGAGTCAAGGAAGAAAAATGTTGCTCAAGCACAGGGAATGGGGAAATGAAATGAACTTCCAGGACGAGATGCAAGGACTCGGGCTTGCTTGCCACGCCCACAAGACACCCCGACCGAAAGTTTGACTTGTGTTGGTGGCTCTGCTGGACAATTCCCAGGGCTGAAACGTGGTTCGGCGGCACCCTAGCCAATCAGCCACTACTCTTTACCAGCGGCGCTCCCAGGAACCGAGATGAGCCATATTCAACCGAACAAAGAAACGCAGCGCACTGATCTGTTTCAATTGGAATGGAAGCTTCGGGGTGTGGGCAGGGGTCTTGATTCGTTTTGGGCCACCCTGCCAAATCAAAGTTCCAGGTCAAAGTCACACTGCCACTGCAGTGTGGCTGCCGCGTCGTACCCTAGAAATGGCAGGGTGTTGAATATTTTATGGTCTGGTATGGCAGGGTGGGAAAACAAATTACGCTGCAAGCCAGTTTTTGAGCACATCTGATGCTTGACGCGGTGTTGAGTGAGTGTCTTCGTGGAAAGGACTTTTAGCCAGTTTTCGAGCACATGCGATGCTTGGCGTGGTGTGTGTGAGTATCTGTGGCATAATATAGCTCAGCCGACGAAAACTGCCGCCCATTTTCGCGGTTCAAAACGGACAACCCCCTTCCTCGTGGTTGACGACCCCACGACGACCTCCGCGTGGAAAGCCCAGCCTATCTGGCTGGGCCCGGTGCTGGTGAGCCCTCGGGATGGTCGACGACCTGTCGACCTAGAGTTCCGCTGAGGCAATCCCGAGAAAGACGTCTCAGCCGCGTGTCAGAATACCAGCTCGGCAAGTCGGGCCGCGATGATCGCCACGCGGCCACAAAGGGACGCCCGAGATAGTCCCCTGGATGGCGGGGCCACCGAGGTCTGCCAGGTTGGACACGACGGGCCAACGGAAGGTCGGGGTGCTTCGCTTGGGAGAATCTCGCGCATGAACGTGGCAAGGTCGGTGCATACCACACGGCATTCATCCAACGGTTGCTCACATGCGCAAGGAGAAATCCGGCCGTCCACTATCTATGGCTACGTGCAGTGGACACTGATGATGCGGGAATGTCGGCGTCGACCAGAAGAGCATCATCGTGGTGCCACACGGCAGTGTCTCCCGACCTCGACCTACCGAGGTGCACCTAATTCGGGACCACGCCACGTTGCCGCACGAAAGAGCCAGCGTGTAGCAGACACGAAAAGAGCATGATGAGCGAAGCGCTGCAAGCAAGCAGCCATGCACGCCTGGTGGCACGTCGGACACGGCGCCGCCGCACGAGCGTACATGCATGGCGGCGTCGTGCACTGGGGTTTGCGTGGAGCGCCAAGTGGTGCGGAGTCGCTCACGACCATACCCATCCGTGGTCCCCGAAATGGTCGCTCATTCCGCCTGCCATTGTGTGTGCGTGTACGTCCGTAAGCTGGCACTTAGCTTCTTTTTTTTTACCACTAACTTGACGGCCGGCACTTAGATTTTCTCTGGAGGCGTAACGTCGGCGTCGTGATAGTAGGCAGACGTGGTCGCCGACCTCTCGTAGGATTGTCTGCTGTCCCGACCTGCCAGATACCGCCGACATAGAATACGCATTTAGTAGTTTATCGACCTCACCACGCCGACTTCCCATCGCCCTAGGTCGCCGTATCATGGCCAGAGGACAGCCTCGTTCGACACCGCCGCAAACCAACCCACCCCCCGCCGATGTCGACATGACGGACGTTCCGAACCCCGCTAGCCAGGGTGAGGACGTCCGCCAGGTAGACCGTACACCGACCAGTAACCCCTCGTCGACTTTGCCGCTGCTTTACGATCTCGACGCCCTGGCCCAAATCCCGCAGGGAGAGTTCACCAAGGACGTTCCGCCCGCGCCAATAGGGGAGTTCACGAAACCACGCAAAACGTCGACGCCGACGGATGCAGGGGAGGCCGGGCCGTCGTCTGTGCCGGACGGATCGGGCGACCAGGATGAGGACGATTATTCATCGGCGAGCGACGAGGACGACGAAGACGACCCGCGGCCC